CATGAAAATCTATCTCAAACCTAAACATACCAAAAACCTAAAATTTGAGATACTCATTCCAATACAATAGTTCCCACCTATTACACATATGATATAAACCCACAATAACAAGTATTCCTATCCTTACCTTCTTAGATTGAACAATTTAGGGTTAACCCCAACTTCTCCCTTTTCTCTTCTTTCTCTTATTCTGTTCTCTTAAGTCTTTCTCTTCTTTTCACAAAATGAGAATTCTAATCTTTGTTTTCACATAACTCTTACTAACTATTGTTTCTCTTATTGGGCTTAGTAACTCATACCCTCATTACTTTTATTTCTCATAATTAGGTCCAACTAGTTATTTCATTCATTAATACACTTAATAATCCAATTAACACATAATCACATAATTAAATAATTATCATATCATATAATAATTAAATAAATAAATAACTAATAAAATAGCTAATAAAAATCGAGATGTTACATCATCAATAATCAATTTCAATGTCTATAATTATTACACTCAAAACCCTTGAGGTTTTATATAAATTGTATGACATTGATAAGTTAAATCACCCCATCAATTGGCATTGATTAGTTAAATCACATTAATTTTCTTGAATTTTAGTCTTCTCAGCAACAGTATATTAAGAAAATAATCAAAAACTACCAAAACCAAAATACATATTTTTTTCGTAATTAAGAAAAAAAAAGCAACATTCAAATCACTAAATTGAAAACTAATCAAAAAAATATTTGTTAAACAAAGACAATATGAAATATCAACCAATAAACTTAGAAATGTAGATCCAAATGGAAACAAAAAAACAATTTTTCATTCATTACCCTGGGTTGTCAATATTTACATGACCAAAAAATTGAACAAATTTTTTTGAACCAACATGACCCCATATCAATAATTTTCAACCTAATACAATAAACCTCCCTTTAACAAAGTTTTCTTCATTAAAATCAGAAAAAGTTTATTTTTTAGATTCGTTGTAGAATCAATGTATCTAAACTAACACAACAATATGTAGTCCAGAGATATTAATTTTTCAATGAATCTAAAAAATATTTCTTTTCTTATGTTAAGGATCACAGGTAATACAGGTAAGAAGAAAAAAAATTAACTCAATATGCAAAATCTTTTGTTTATGCTAAATAAATAAAAACCGAACATCCCCAATTGTGCAACCCATATTTGAGTTATTTGAAGTGAACAACACATTAGTATTATACTTGAACTCCACATTTATTTGTGGGACCCTATTAAAATTAATTGCAAATAAAATAATAGTGTGTTAGTTGATTTTTATAGGATCCCACAATTTACATTCTGATTACAAATCCATTTTTTTATTGTACAAATAAAAATTTGGATTTGTACTCGACTTTAAAATGTGGGATCCTATAAAAATCACATTACTATTTTATTCACAACATTATTATTATTATTATTATTATTATTATTATTATTATTATTATTATTATTATTATTATTATTATTATTATTATTATTATTATTTTATTCTAAAATTTTAATTACAAAATATATTCCAAAAACACATATAATATATTTTGTTAACATCTACCCCATGCAATGCGCCACTTGGAATTTTATCTGTCTTGCATCTACCGCTACAGTTAACCTACTCCACTGTTAGAAAACCCTATACTCCTGCATACAAACTCTTAGAAAAACGAGAACAACTCATACTGATTTGACCGCTGAAGATTTGCAAGGCATACACACAGAAAAACATGATGAATCGATACTGGTTTGACTGCTAAAGATTTGTAGCGCATTTATTACTGATTTGAAGAAACAATAACTTTTCAAAATCAAATTAATATTGATTAGACCAATCTATGACCTTTGATTGGAAAAGGGCGTGGGAAAAAGATGTACTTGCAATGTGATCATGCCCATTGATCTGTCAGAATAATCCCTTCGTCTATTGTTTAATAACTGCGCACCATTTGATTTAAATCATAATGTCAATATCGTGCTTGTTGGTTTCATTCTTTTCTAAATTTTATCCTATTGATTTTCAATTTAAGAGAGGCATTATAAGCGGGGTTTCAACAGTTTCATTCACATATACTTCGTGCTCTCCATCTTCAACAATCAACCATCTCAGTAGCAATACGTAATATACTCAAACATCCAACGTTAACCACATAGAGTCACATTCACATATTTACAGAGTTAATTACTTGCTACTGAAAGTATAAAATATTTTTGGTGGTTCATTTTTTAATATAACCTGAATCTAACTATTTTTTTAATTTTTTTTATTAATATTATTGTAAGACAAACATCAAAGTTCCTCTGAATTTCTTAGACCACTTTTTTTCTGAATTAAAAAATGACTAGTGGTACACCTACGATGCTTGTGGAAACCGTTTTTTTATTACTATGTAACATAAACATCACAAATCTGTCTATATCAAAAAACTCTTGGAAAGATGTTGTAAATATTTTGGGACTTAACATACTGGATAAAGTTTATTTTGATTATAATGGAAACAACATGTTTTTTATTAGATGTGAAAAACTGAGGAGGCTTGGTTCTTTTACAACCATATACACTACACATGAGGTAATATTTGAAAAAAATTGTTTCACAATAATTTTATAATTTTTTTTTGTTATTCTCGCTATTACTCATACTATATTGTGGTATCTTAGACTAAAAATACATTTTTCATATTTAATTTATTTCAGATGATCGGCTAAATTGATCCTACATTTGTGCAAGAATTCATAGAGAGTCTACCAGTGAGATGAAATGTTTATGACCGGAACGACCATAACTATGTCATACATTTTAATGGAGATGTATTAGCTCCAGTGTTGTTTGATGGATGGGAAACTCTGAGGTATTTCTTCTATCTAACTGAAGATGTCAGAGTTAGGATAACTTATTTCGGCAACTATATTTTCCGAACAGAATTCTGAATGTAATTTAAAGTACCGATCAATATCCAGTGTGACATCTGCTTCACGATTCATAGTTGTATCATCAATTTGTCATTAATAAACTTGTTTCCAATCTTTTAATTTTTTAGTCATATTGTTGTTATGGAATTTACAGTTTTTCTTTTTATTTCATTTTATATTTTATTTCAATGATTAAAAATATAACTATTGAATTATAAATGAATAACAACATCCACATTCTATTTGATAAAATAGAGTATTGGATTTTTGATGAATAATATATAATTGTTCAACTATACATTTAAATTTAAACTATATATAAAATAGACCCCAATATACAATTATTTTACACAATTTGGATTTTGTCTAATCACATCGAATCAAATCAATGTTGATAAGTCAAATCACATCAAACATTAACTAGTATAGTATATGGAACCAATAGCAGTAGATAAAAAATCTGCGAGTTGTTCTATTTATAATTTTATATTTTAATTAATATTTTAACACAACAATACTACTTTTCTATGGATTAAAGGTCGATAAATTATACAATAATGGAAGTTACACTATTTTCTTCAACTTTAGTTGAATGAAAGCTTGAAACCAACACATTATTATATATACTATTTTGATGAAAGAAATTTACATTAATCAAACAAACACAAACCACTGGGTTGCCAAACACACAACCAGTGACATTGTTATATAACATGTAACTATATATCAGATCACAAAATAAATTTTAATGAAAACAGAAGAAAACAATCATGGTGAAATTGATTGGGAAAAATAGAACTACATGATGAAGTTGTTTATCAGCAATCCACACCTTTAATCTTGATAACAATGACGAAGTTGGATGAATATTAACGAAATATATTCTTAGAGGTATGGATTTCTAATTTCTATTCAACCATGAAAGTAAAAGTTCAAGCTTCTGCAAACAATAAAATATTCGTTGAAGAGTCCAAAAATTGAAGCAGAAAAATTAATCTCAATTTCTGAAATAAAAACTTAAGTACACAAATGGAAGTCCAAGATTCATATTGGGGAACTTAAATTACAAAAATCAAACCAATGCAAAGTAAAAAATTGAAAAGGTCCAATATATTATGTAAAAGCCGAACAAAAAAATATATTAAATATAATTTTTTATTGTTTCTGATTTTTGAAAAAAAAATTCAATAAAAAAAGTCATCAACAAGTTGCAGATCATAAATTTCAATCGTTGAATATAAATAATAATGTATCAATGGCCAAAAACCTCATATCTCCATGGTGGTCAAAAACTGACTTGACCATGCTAAATGCCACCATGGAGATTTGATGGTATGAAAGCGCTAAATTGCACTGGTATAAAGAGCCAAAATGTATTTGCTTAGAGAGCATAGCCAAAAGATTAAATTCTTCCTTAAAAAAAGCAAGCCGATGATAAAATCAAAATTGGTTTAATTTTATAATTATACGTGATGGTATAAATATTTTTGAGGAAGACATGATCTAAAGTATTTTATCTAAATTTTTAAAGATCAATTTAATTGTGGTAATCATAACTCATAAAATGCAGGCTATCAAGTAATTAAGGACACACAAATGAGTAAATTAAAGCGGATCTTAACAAGTCTTTCACCTCTTACGAAGTTTTTCAGACTATTCAACATGGCCTGGGCTACCATGATTTTGACCTTTTTTTCCTTTCTTTTTTTAATGTATTTAGTGGGGGTTAGTAATCATAGAAAAATAAAAAACCTGCAAAATATTGATGACCAATACTCTTTTTTTGATGAATAGTAAAAAATAAATAGTGGGGGTTTTGAACCCGCACACAAAAACTCCCGCAATTGCTTTGAAAATAGGCACAAAAAAAGGTCTCTCACATGAGAGACCTATCAATGTCGTTCACCGTAGACGGTGCCATACAACATATGCATAACATGATTTTCTTTGGTTCTGATGAGCTCCCTATTTTTTAAAATGATATTTTGAAATATCATTGGTACTGGTGTCATCAACTTTATCCTTAATTTTTTTTGTTTACATGGATGATCGAAGCCCCCGAAAGAAACAACTACAACTGGATTAGGCGGGGAGGTTGCTTCCCAGCTAAATCATTATCAAATAAAACCTTTACGAAGGAAGGAAAATAATTGAAACTACATAATTTATGATGCTGGTGGATTCCATTCTTCGCAAGTGCGTCAGCACACAAGTTAGCTTCCCTGAAATATGCTTGATTGAGATTTCGATACCTTGTTGGAAGAAGGCTCTAGTCTTGTTTAAAAGATTTTTTCCCAGGTTTTTGGAAGAAGAGGTGCAAGTGATGTCTTTGACCACTTATTGCGAATCAATTTCGACCATAATCTGCTTGAATCTCATGTTTGTTGCAAGGAGTAGGCCTTCATAAACTGCTCAAAGCTCAACAATGTACACACTACATATCCCAATATTCTTCGAAAAGCCTCCAAGCCACTCTCCATCTGAGCCCCTGATGATTCCACTGCAACCTGTGTTACCTTCTTTATCCATGGCTCCATCAATATTCATCTTGACCTAATCTCTCGGAGGAGCTTCCCAAATGATCATCTTCTCCTTCATGTTAGGATTAATAGTAATCTTTGTACTGCTTTCACATCTTCATAATCTTGCATCTGCCTTTTGATATTAGCATACGTGCATGACGGCCTATTAAAATTATCATTACGACTCTCCTTGTTGTGCCAAATCCATAGGTTATAGAAAGCATTGGCCCAAAAGTTTCTCCAGTCATAGTCATTGTTTCATCCCATATGGCTAACCGTATTTAAGTGAATCTAATCATTGAGAGTACCTGCATAAAAGAGTGCACAATTGTTAATAGAAATTGCCGGCCTCCAAAGATCAGTTGTGCACGGACAATCCCGTAAAGCATGAAGGGTATCCTCTTTCACATCACCATAACGTCTGCACATGGAACTTCCAAGACCCACGCGAGATTTCTTCTCATTCCTAAGAAGATCGCCATGGTGCAACAACCATACAAAATGGAGAACTTTAATGAAGGAAACCGTCATAACATTTATAATCATAACTATAGTTATCTTATTTCTAAAATAACAATCTAACTTATCCCTATTGCTAATTAGGGTATGTCGTAGGATGAAGATCATAAAGTGTCAAATTAAATTTAAGAAAATTAATATGATTTTTACTCATAAAGATAACAATATATTGACCAATTTATTAGCTAAACATGCTCATCAAATAAATAATTGTTTTTGAATTGAGTATACTTATTAGTTTAGCTTAATGTTAGGACTATTATGGGGTCTCTGGAGATGAAATAGAAGATGATAAGCATCTTTCCTTTTATTGTCTAAAATTTTTTAGTGTTGGAAGCTAGTAGGTTTATGGTCTATTGTTCAACAGGTGATGAGCAATAATATTCCTTTTAAAGGAATTAAATTAAGACTAACAAGCTTTGTTATTAATCATTATTTGGAGTATATGAAAGAGTAGAAATAATTATATTTGGAACTAGATAGAAGATTAAGTGGAAATAATTTGTGATTGTGCCTCTTTCTTACTTTTGGGATGGTGAAATGCACAACAATTCCATTCGAGAGTTTCTAACCAAAATGAAACTCCTAGGATCAATACTTAGAGAAAACCTTCAGCAAGTCATCTCAAGTGCAATATATACCCATCTTTCTTTATGAATTTAAATAAAGTAATAATTGGTGTTTGTGGATGAGATGAAGAGAGAAATTTTGTGTTAGTTCTAACGAAGTGGGTATCACCTATTACCGAGGTTGATACAGGGAGACTCTAAGCCTTATTTCATCTATCAAATGGGTGCATGAGCTCGACTTGGATGGTGTGAATTTTGAGGTAGATTCTAAAAGTGTAGCAGATAATGTGAATAGTCAATATTTGAATTTAATAGAGTTTGATGAGATTATCAAAGAATACACACACTTGTTAGCCTGTTATTTTATGAATTCCTATGTTAAACTTTTTATGAGACAAACTAATAAAATTATGGCTTAAATTTACAAAAACGCTGACGTGACAACCGTTTTTGTTTTCATTTTCCATTTTTTACCTCTAGAATTCTACTTTAAGTGTCGTTTTTTTTAATTTTTAGTTTTGGTCTTAAATGTTAAAATGCAAAAACTTAAAATCTTTGCTTCCCTCTAAGAGTGAGACATTGTGTTGTGTCTATGTAGCGATTGGAAATAAATGCTCAACTGTGGCACAATTAGTTCAAATTCTTTCAGAAGCGAATGCTTTAGAATATTCCATTCTTGTAGCAGCCACCGCTTCGAATCTAGCATGAAATCTTCAACATTGAAAAGGGTTTCCAAGGCATTTTGTTGCTCTAGGAGCTATGGATTTGAACTTCCAAGGGCTATATCTTGCTCATCTTTTGGTATTTTTAAGTGATTCCAAAGACATGCTCTTCTTTAAAGGTTTATCAACAAATAAATTCAAAGAAATGTTTATGTGGAAGATGCCTAATGATTGAGAAAGATTACAAGTCCTCTAGATAGGTCATCAAATTCCCTTATGTGACTTCAAAAGATCATAACTTGGTCAATTTTTATCTCCTAGAGCCCATTATTTTTCCATAATGATCTTAAATATGTGAACTTCAACCCTTATTTTATGTGTAAAGCTTGAAAATGGATGGAAGATGTCTTAAGGACTCAAACGATTATAGGTCATTTCATGAATTTTCACCAAGTCATAACTTTATCAATTTTTTGTAGTTTTTAAATGGTTCAAGTCTTAAAATGTCATTCAATAGATCTACTTCATTCCATATTTTTTGGTTAAGAGCAAATTTTAAATGGAAGGCCATGTTTGGATGCAAGACATTATAGGTCATTTTTGAAGAAAAACTTAGAATTTTTCTAAGTACAAAAAGTCAGCATCTTTTTCTCAACTTTGACTCATCACAACTTTCAGCTCAAGCATCCATTTGATTCCATTCTTTTCACATTGTAAATTTTGTGATCTCATTTTTCCAACATATCAAGAATCAAGTCATAAAGCTTCCTGAATTGTGCACACCATGATTTCAAAGTTGGTACCTTGGAACTGAAGTTTCTCCAAACAATCAAAATGAAATTTCCATAATTTGACTTCTAATCACCAAATTTGTGCGTGTTTTCTACTTAAACATGATTAGCATAAGCGTGTGGATGATTTAGAGTGTTAAAATGCATCATTTGGATGAGTTTTGATGCACAAGTGATCACACTTATTTCATGAAAATAGGTGTGCATGATTTCCATTCAAATTGCATCATTCACCCCTTCTCTTAATTCCATTCACTTCCCCTATAAATACAGGCTATATCCCACTCATTTTGGCAAGCTTAGATAGCCAGAATCACCATGCGAAACTCTCTCTTGAAGCCACTTTTCTGCAACTTTGAATTTGGTTTTACAACTTTCCTCAATCCATTTTGTTTGTCAATTCTTCATCCTTGAACTTCACTGAAGCTAATAGAAGAAGAACCAAGCTCTAAGACTTCCTAAATCATGCTAGCCAATCCAAGTTTCAGAGCTCTGAATTTGAACTTCAATAGGTAGATTCCTTCACCAATTCTCTCAATCTTTGGTACTGTAATGAAGCTCTCATCATTCTGATTCTAGTCGCAACATTTGTTTTCAACTGGAAGTGAGTTTTGGCCATGAATTTTCAAATCCCTTTTCAAATCTTTCCTTCCAAAATGACCGAGTTGTACCTTACATAAATTTTTCGCGAGGGTACTATTGGAATCGTCTTGAAGAGACGAAGCGAATGGTACCCATCTCGAGCTCTAAGATTTCCATTTCAGAGACCTTTAATTCATGTGGCTGGAGGTTGAAGCTGACCAACGTGTCATCTCTCAACCAATGATATCGTGCCATTTGTTTTTTTAAATTCTGATTTTAATAAATGATTCAGAGTTTTATTCACTAATGTCCATGATATGCACAGTGCGTCAGATCCCTTTGATCTGATTACTGACGCGTTTTGACATTGATCCATTGGTCTACATCTTTTTGGTTTTTTATTTTATTTTCTGATTTTAAAAATATTTTTCCTTTATTTTCATATAAAATTTTATTTTTGTATATATTCTGGCGGATCTTGAACTATGAGATTTTGGTCATGAGCTTGATTAACATCATTGGATCTTGAGTTTTGAGTTCAACTCCACCAAAATGGATGACTTATTTTAATGATAGCTTGATTAAATTTTTGGTTCAAATATGGTTTAATTTTTATCCCTTCCCTCTTCATCTTATCCCCTTTTTACTTGTACTATATGTTGTTGGAGAATAATTTACATATCATTTCTCTAAACATATGGTACATAGATTTCTATTGACCGATCTCAAAATAGGTGTGACTTCTATATAAGTCCACTTACGATTGCTTAACATAGCGCTAAATTTTGTCCCGAATCGAGAAATGATCATTCGTGACCCAACCCTATGTTTGCAAGCCCGGGTATATTAATTTGAAACCTTTGATCTAATAATCTTGTGATTCATTGTTAGGAGGCTTTGGTCTTACCAATCCTCTAATGAATCTTCATAAGCTTTGGTCAAAGTGAATCACTTAAACATCATTGATCATTGTTGCCTTGGGATCTTGAAATGAACGATATACTTGACAAAAAGAAAATGAAACTTGTTGTTGAGAGGCTTTGATCTTATCAACCCTCTAATGAGTTTCAAATGCAAGTTTCAAGATGATCATTCAACTAACCTCTAATTACTAATTCATTAACATTTGACTTTTGTCTTATGCCTTTATTTTATGCTTTTATTTTATGCTTTTACTTTATGCACCATTTTACTCTAGCATTTACATTTCATGCTATTTTCATCTTTGTTCACTTGAGCATTTACTTTTATGTCATTTTTATTTTGCTCACTTGAGCTTTTCATTTCTTTTTGAAGATACCTAATAATCAACTTGACCCATAAAAATTTTTAATGTTACTTGGACTACTTGGTTACTATCCTTGGCATCATGGAGTGATGGACTTCTTGGACTTAGGATTAGAGACTTTGACCTACCTTGAGACTTTATGATTTCTGTTGTTATTTTTCCCGGGGTTCTTGGGGTTTACCCCAAGATATTGGGTTGTTTGTTTGCTTTACATGCATGTTATTTTGATTACATGCTTTGTCTGTGATTAGGAATTCATCTGTATACAGCTGTTACTGTACCCAATTTTTATGAAGACTTAATGAAATTGAAGCTTGGTTTCCTTTAGAGGTTTATTATCTTTGCTTGTTTTGTTTCAATCCAAAGGACTGGAATTCTACATTGACTCATTGTGTCAAGTGTTGGCTTCTTATTGGTTAGACAATTCTTTTCCGTAGCTTTTACCTTATGCTTTAGGATAGTCCCTTCATCTCCTCCCATCTTCTTTAATTTCAAAATCTTCTCCCTCCTTTTCGACACTATTCTTGTTTTCCAAACTTGAACCGCTTTCACAATAAACTTGGACTTATGTCCATGCATTTTAAAAAACATTTTCTTAATCAAACTTTAACCAACTTAATAATACTTTGACATTTTTTTTTGTGAGAAGACTAAAATCCAATCAGTCTCATTCAAACTATTTTGCCACATTGGCTTTTTACTTTAAACAATTTCTCAAAAGATTAGACTCTTTTCAATCCTTGTAGTGATGCGAATCATTACGCTTCTATAATATGTAGTGAAGTGAGATATTTTCCACTTGGGTGTTGAGCGAGGCTTTGTTGATTTTAAAATTCAAGCCATATCCTCCACTTTAAGATGATGCAAATTCTCCTTTCTCATAATCATGGGTAGTAAGTATGCTCTTCCACTCGGATAAGACAATGATGTCTCGTCTCTTAAAATTAACCAATACACTTGTGTTTTAAAACTTTTAAAGGTGAACTACGAGTACCCTGATCCCCTATTGCACAGAATGTGGTACGTAGGCACTAAAGAATCACAACCGCGACAGGTGCAAAAATTGTAAAAAATACTTCTTTTCTCATTACCACAACTTATTTTTATACAACATTTATAGCCAAAATACACATATTTTCAAAGAGGTTCCTGCCGAGTACCATAGATATTTAGGGTGCTAATACATTCCCTTTGCATAACCAACCCCCGAACATAGATTCTCTCCCCCTCTTTTGGGTTATTCGCTCTTTTCCCATTCCTTTCGAAACAATAAAGTGGGGTGGCAATTTTTATTTTATCTATACGAGTCAAGTCATTCTAATGGCTTAGTCTCAATATTTCTACCGCTACAGAAAAATGGAAACTTCATTGGGGAAATATCGACCTATTGTTGGTCCATCCCTAAGTGGATTGAGCATATATTTGTTTATTTGTGTATATGATTTTGTTTGTTGTATATTATATGTTGTATATATGTTTGTCTGGATTTTCCTGGTTTTCAAGGTGCTTGGTGATTTCTCATAAGTCCTCTACCCAGACTTGGGCAAACTTAAGATAGGAAGAACGGTATAGTCATGTTAACTTTTAGGGAGTAATTTCAAAAAAGGAGGCATGAGATCCCCCACTTAGTGGAGGCCCCTTTGGTTGTAGTGTCGTTTACCGAGTAATCAGGAAGACGTGTTGCTTTCAACCTGGGAGCCTACTAAAATAGAGGATCGTAGAACCTTTAACCCATCTTGGCCTTTTAGATGTAGTGTAGAAGCTATGACGGAGTAATCCAGAAATGGTTGTCATGCGATACTACACTCAGACGAGTTTCTCTGGAGAATATTACTAATTACTGAGTCAATCAGGATATCGGTAATACCCGAAGGAAGGATGTAGACTCTGGGAACCTCTTAGAACCTTGTTCAGCAGGTGATAAACTATTAAACCATATCATGTGGGTAGTACCTTTGACTCCATGCTCGTGACGCCAAACCTGTGAACCCCCCATGTTTTTGATCTTGTGTGTGATTGTTGCATCATGCATTCATGCACTCATGAGCATCTTTTAAGACATTGTGGTTCAAGGGACTTAAAGTAGATTCTTTATGAATATCCAAGGTACTTTTGACCATGGATTCTGGAAAAAGAAAGACTCGGAAGTACAGTTTCAAGAATCCCAAGATAGATGATTTGATGAGTCTAATTCCCGAGATTGAGAGTTCTGTAGATTTTCAGAAGAAGTATGGATCCATCGTATCTCTCGTGAAGCTTAGGATGAAGGTGGGTATTCTCTCGACTTTGGTCCAGTTCTATGATATGATGTATTGATGTTTCACCTTCCCCGATTATAAGTTTATGCCTACATTAGAGGAGTATTCTTATCTAATGGGTTTAC